CTAGCGAACAGTTTTTTTATTAATTTTTTTATTATGAGAAACAAATATTCCATTTTATTTGGAACGGCAAGCCAGACAAAATTAAACAGGCCTATTTATATAATGAATATGAATTCGGAGGACAGAAATGATTAAATATTAAAGCATTAGACCTATCACTAAAAGCTTCAGTCATACAAAAGTTATACTTAAATCCGAACTGGTTCTCTAGCAAATTAGTAAGATTGTCTCACCCAATGTTCAAGAATGGCATTTTTCCCTTTATTCAGATTACAACCTCTCACTTTCAGTTATTTGAAAAGGAAATCATCTCCCAAATATCACTATTTCTAAAACAAGCCATAGAAAGTTGGTTGCAATTTCATTTCATTCAATTTAATCCTCCAGAAACGACAAAACAAATAATGCAACAAATATTGTGGTTAAACTCAAATATAATAATTGATAAAAAACCTTCTTTTTTTTGACAATGTTTAAAAAAGGTATAATCTTCATAAATGATATAATCGGTAGGACTGGTGGAGTTATGTCGCACATGCAGCTAACAAAAACATATGGAAATGTCTGCTCTATCCAAAACTACAACCAAATAATTGCAGCATTACCGCAAAAAGGAAAGTGGAAAGTGGAAGGGGGAAAAAGTAAGGAACTTGTCTGTCGGCCTTGCATTAAAGAACATAATTGGTTAAAGAAAAAAGAAAAAAGTATACCAGTTTCATTTAAGGACCAAAGGATTGACAGCCGTCCCATATAGATTGCAAAATAGTTGGGAAGAGATTTTTGACGTACCGATCCCATGGCATAGTGTTATGAACTGATACGCAAAACGACGCCGGATTCAAAACTTAGAATTTTTCAATTTAAATTATTATATAAAATTCTTGCTACCAATAGAATGTTATATGGGGGATACAATCTTCCCAGCTCTGCAGATTTTGCTGCGAAGAGACAGAATCATTAGATCATTTGTTTTGGTACTGTCCATTTGTAGCTTGTTTTTGGAGCTAACCCTGGAGATAGCATTACTGGGTGATCTGAAAAGTCATAGTCAATCGATCAATAATATAATACTTTTAGCAAAAATGTTTATTTTCAATTTACAATCTGTAGAAACAATGAGAATAGAACGGTTCAGATCTTTTGTAAAACATCACAGTACAGTTGAAAAATATATGGCAAATAGAAATCCAATATGGATGGTGTTAAGAGATAGATGGGTGGAGTTGAAGGATGGGACTAATAACAACTACCAACAACTAATAACAACAAGATAACTAATGTAAAGTATACTGTGTCCATAATAAGTATATAGGTTATAGGTTGAGAGCTTTTGTGAAAGAGCACAGTTAGAAAGATATGGCATATAAAAGCAAACCAGATGGACATCATGAAAATGATCGGAGAGGTTGAGGGTAGAGGAAGTTCAGGAGTAAAAACAAACAAAATATAATTATTGTAAAATTGACTGTGTCCATAAAATGTATATAGTATGTATAAACTGGAAGTAGAGGCCTAAGCATTGTTGTTCACTAGTTTACTCCAATTAGGGAAGGGGTGGTGGGGTTGGAAAGTAATAAAGGGAAATATATTTCTTAAAGACAGGAAGCTGTAATAGTCTAGAATGTGTCTGCCAACAGAGTGATCTTACCAGTACCAAGACCATCCATCCCAGGAATATAATATCCAAACCTGAAGAAAACAATCAACATTCCTTTGTTATTATGGAACATTATTAGGACAACCATATCATCAACTGTAAACTATCTAAATGTTGTCACTGTTGAGGTTGTATGGCTAAACATGAAAAGGAATGTTTCCTGTATTGTATCAAATTGTATGTTCTAATCATTATTTCTCCACCAGTGGTGGCTAGTGGGCAGAGCTATCAGAGGACCGGCTCATTGTAATGGCTGGAATGGAATAAATAGAACGGTATCAAACATGGAAACCCATGATCCATCCATCCCATTTCAGCCATTACAATGAGCCTGCACCCACCAGCCTTCTCTGTCCTCTACCCACAAAAACATTGAGTACCACTTGCTCAAATGAATAGTGTGCAGGTTGGCATTTATTGTCATGAATCTTGCCCTGGAGGCAGTTCTGCAGAGTGGTCACTAGCTGGCACAGCCATATAACATCTGATTTTAAACCTAACCCTAACCTTAACATTTAGATGTACATTTTAGTCATTTAGCAGTCTCTCTACCACACTGCTAACCCTAATGCCTAACCCTAAACTTAAATTAAGACCAAAAAGCTCATTTTAGTTTTCATGAATTTTTACAATATAGCCAATTTTGACTTTGCAGCTGTCCTATCTAGTGCAAACCGCTCAGTTCTGCCTCCAGGACAAGATTCATGACAATAAACATCAACCTGCTTTTAGTGCCGGAGTCAAATCCTGCCTCAGCCCCTACTCTCTGTCTCCCTCTCTACCTTACCACTGTCACTGTCCATAAACAATAAAATATTTACTAAATATATATACAAAATATAAATTAATCAGAAGTACATTTAGAAATGTTTAGATATGTTTATTTAGAACTAAATCAAATGTATAGTGACTCACCCAAACGACCCCCCTCTTCGGGGGTTTGCTCTTGAACTGGAGAGTGTTCCTCTGTTTGAGCTTGGGGTGCCCCTTGGTTGGGGAGCGAGGACAGGTGGCTCAGATGGTGTCCAGGTTATTCATGGTTCTGTTGGTCTGTGTGGGGACACTGGGTCTGTAGACTGTCTGTCTGTGGTGGTTTCTGGTTTGGTTACACTGATGAAATGTAGAAGAGAAGAGATGTCAGGTATCTTGTATGGTTTGAATAAATATCTATGGCACTTCATATAATTCATTTGGACACTCTTTTAAAACGAGATGGTGCATCTCAAGAGATTTCATCCTGCAAAATGTCAATTAAATAACTAAATATAATCTCTCTCATAGCTCATAGCCCTTTAAACTATTCTAAACCTCACTAGTCACTCCTTATCACCACTGAACCATATATTAGTATATTAAACAGGCATATGACCCTCTACTTCAGGGTTTCCCAACTGGTGGGCCTTCTTGTGTTTTTTATTGATTTATTGTTGGACATACACTATATATAAAAGTATGTGGACACCCCTTCTGGAGTTTAACTGGAGTTTAATATCCTATACTAGTTCTACACAGGACCAACATAATGATGAGGTATCTTATATCCTACCTCCATCAAACCATAACTGGAGTTTAATATCCTATACTAGTTCTACACCGGACCAACATCATGATGAGTTACTCAGAATACGTCCCAAATGGCACCCTATTGGTACACTATTGGCACCCTATTCCCTGTAGTGCACTACTTTGGCCTGAGCCATTTGGGACTCAGCCTCAGTCTCAGTTCACTCCTCTGGTCACCTGCAGGTCCCCCCACCACCCCCCCCACAGTTCTGAGAGGAGATAAAATAACCTCTTCAGGAGAGGAGGAGGGGAGGAGGGGAGGAGGAGGGGAGGGGAAGCAGGTGTGTCCTGGGGGAGAAAGAAAGAGAGCAACACATCACTGCCTGTAACTCAGTGTCAGAGCTAGAACACGTCCCTGGTGAATGACTCTGATAACTAGAGATAGTAGACATGAAACCATCAGCTGGTCTTTGGGTGGGACTGAAACCAGTAGTCTGCAGACAGCTGGTCCTGTTGTAAAGTACATGTAGCTCTTTCCTCAGTCATTATTGGTGGTCCTATGTCCTCCTCAGGGGGACGTTGACAGAACTGCAGCTTCTATTCTGATCACTGATGCTCAATGTGAAACACAGCTTGACATGATGCTATATGTGGGGCCAATCCTAACTTCCACTTAAAGGGATACTTTGGGATTTTGGCAATGAGACCCTTTATATACTTCCCCAGAGTCATTTTTATGTCTCTGTGTCCAGTATGAAGGCAGTTAGAGGTAGTTTAGTGAGCCAATGCTAACTAGCGTTAGTGCAATGACTGGAAGTCTATGGGTATCTTCATCTGACTCTGGGGAAGTAGATAAAGGGCCTCAGTGAGTTGAGTGTTTACTTAGTCATGGATTGATGTCAATGGGAGACTAAGTGAAGGCCAGACAACAATTAGTTATTAATGCTGAAATGATACTGAGTCCAACATCTAATGTTAATAATAGAGAACAGTTTAAACCATGTAATAATGGCAGCTATAAACTCTCTAAACATTGACCTGTTTCCTGCATCCTCAGTTAAAATGGAGGCCGGTGTTCTAGTCTGAAATACCTGGATGCTTCTCTTTCTCTGTTCACTTTCTCTCCCTCCTCCGTGTCTTCAAGGGTCCCTCGTTCCACTCCACATCCCTCCATCCTCCTCTATCTTGGTTTAAATAGTTTCCAGATTCACCCTAATTCAGTGCTGTGAACAGTTCAGCCTACATTTTTATCATAATAACAACATGCTCTTCAATGTAAGGCTACAGTAAACTGCTAGGTCATCTCTGGTTGGTCAGAATCCTTGTTATGATAATAAACCTGGTAAGGATTCTGGGCTCCTCTGTCTTGGTTCAATTTAAACAATGATTCTCCTGATTCCCCGTCATTTAGTGCTGCTAACACTGATGCTCATCAACATGCTCAAATACAAACACGTGTTCTTTAGAATGCTCTTTATTGAATATCCACAATACAGCAAAGCTATAACATTTCCTCTATTCATCATTAGTAATTCAACTCATTTCCCCATAGTATAGGTCTACTCATCATGACAGTATTTCAGATGTTATGTTTTAGAGAACATGATGCTCGTACAGTGAATGCATCAACAGTAACTTGTCATGAGAAACAACCCTAAACAACTATTTGACATTACATTGGTTATTGTCATACTATTCACTGCTGCATTCATACTTCAGCCAAATATCACCAATTTTCTTTGGATTTTAACTCCTATATTTGACAGCAAAGCAATGATCAAAACATCACTTAAAAGCTATAAACTACCAACTGCACTCATTAAATATTGAAACTATTGCTTTACAGACTGCAACCAGTCTTTCTGATCTCTTTCTCAGAGAATGTTGACCCCAACGACACTTTACATGTGAACACCACGTCCTTGTCCCACTCTGCAGTCTGAATGATCAGATAGCTGCTGATCTTGAAGGTTTTGTCTGGTTGCTGCTCAGCAGGACTGGTAAAAACATATTCTGTCACTGATTCACCGTTAGACATCCAGCTGACATCTGCAAACCCCTTGGACCTCTAAGACAGGTTGCTGGCCAGACACACTAGTGTTGCTCTGCTGGACTTGAGGTCTTCAGTGGATGGAGGGAACAGGGTCACAGCAGGTGTAGAAAGATCTCCATCTAGATTAGAAAATAGTCAATGGATGGGATTAGAAGGGAACAGATTTGATAACAGTTTATATTTCAGTAGATGTTGGTATCATTACCAATACACCCTGCATTAAGAGGAAACTGATGCAGCAATTAAATATAGAACTGCTGTTCATTATGTTCACAATTATATTGATAGAAGTAATCATACGGTGTTAAAAAAGTTATTTTCCCATGGAGCAGAGAGGCAGAGCAATTTCTGGATACATTAATTACAATATTACATCACAATCCTGGAAGACTAAAATGCAAAAGGCTGAACGAAATGTGCACATTGTTAATATAAAATACAAATAATCACAAAAAAATGTTGTAAGTATATTTCTGAGAATTTGAGCTGGATAAAACACTTTGAGATGAAAGATCTCCTTTTCATTGAGTTGTATAGACAACAGAAACACAAGATATGCATGATAAAACATGAACATAGCAGACCAACCAGAAACATTCACACTGTCATCAAAATGTTTCTGGACTTTAAAGTTTTAGAAATAATTTTCAAACACCAGAAAGGATTAAAGCAGGTGCAAAATATTAAATCAGTAAACATAAATGACATTTTATGAATTAAAACATAAAACATATCTGACCAACATTATATTAGAAACAAAACATTTGCAGTAAATTAAAACATTAGAAGGGAACTCACCAGTAACAATCAGCTTGGTTCCTGGTCCGAATACCACAGTGATTCAGATTGTATACACGGCCATACAAAAACCTCCTCACTACTGAGAGGACAGGAACTGAAACATCCCATTCAGACAGAGCTTCATTCTCTCCAGAAATATCTCTGGCTTTTCTAGAGTTTCTCTCTATGAAGTAACAGTATATAGTATAGCATCATATTCTGTGTATTTTGAATCCATCAGTTAAAGCACTATCCAATATAATGCAGTCTTGACTTGATGATGATGATGATGATGATGATGATGATCACACCAAGAGAGCCAACATCAGTTTCCTTTCAGTCAATGTCTTCTTATGCTCTTTTTGACATGTAGGGATGGATGGTTCTTCCATTTCCAGATCTCCCATTGTGTCATATATATATTGATATAATAATCCCTGATCAACTTCAAACTCTGTTTCTTAGAGTTCACCCCTCTGCCACGCATAAAGCTGAAGTGAGTGTATTTGGGGAGGAGGTTTTTGTCATGGTGTATATCACTGTGATACGTGCTCTTTAACAGAGCTGTCATATGTCTGACAGTAATAAACTGCTGAGTCTGTCTCCTCCACAGTGTTAATAATCAAACGATAATCTGATTTAGACTGATGATTAGATGGGAATTTAGGAGAGGAGAAACCAGAACCATATTCTACAGAGCTCCAACCAGTGTGGTACCACCTTAACACGTACTGTGGGACTCCTCCTGGAACCTGTTTATACCAAACGAGCAGCACTATTCTCAACAGTCCCCAGGTTACAGTCCATAGTGGCCGTCTCTATTATCAACTGTCCCCAGGTTACAGTCCATAGTGGCCGTCTCTATTATCAACAGTCCCCAGGTTACAGTCCATAGTGGCCGTCTCTATTATCAACAGTCCCCAGGTTACAGTCCATAGTGGCCGTCTCTATTATCAACAGTCCCCAGGTTACAGTCCATAGTGGCCGTCTCTATTATCAACAGTCCCCAGGTTACAGTCCATAGTGGCCGTCTCTATTATCAACAGTCCCCAGGTTACAGTCCATAGTGGCCGTCTCTATTATCAACAGTCCCCAGGTTACAGTCCATATTGGCCGTCTCTATTATCAACAGTCCCCAGGTTACAGTCCATAGTGGCCGTCTCTATTATCAACAGTCCCCAGGTTACAACAGGAGGCTTCTGTGTCACCACAGTCACACCACTGATACCTGGGAAATAAGAAGATGACATGTAGTGAAGAGAAACATACAGACTCATTATTAATAAAACATGAAGTAAAACCTCCAGGAAGTCAGACTCCTTACATGTTAGAGCGGTGATGAGAGTGCAGAGTGTCCCCAGCATGTTGTCAGTGTGTGGTGTGAACAGCCCTTACTGTCCAGCTGAGAGAGGAGCAGGGTTGGAGTGTGAGGAGAGGAGAGGCTGCAGGACCCACCTATAAGGAGCCACACAGGGAGAACCATGTCAGCCTATCAGCTTCTGAGAAGATGGACTTCTGATGAATTTAAATTACTGTAACTATTAAACTATCAAAAATATTTATATTTTAGATTGGACTAACAAAAATCATATGGGATCATCTTGGTTACACTGAAAGAGCAGTATTTTGTTCCATGTGAGTTATGTTAGTAAGTTTTCTATATCATCATGTCACAATATGTTTAATAATAATATTGTTATACTATTATCTGGACCACACATTATCTGAACTAACAGTATATCACTAAATGACTGCTGATGTAATATGTCTCTACTGTAAACCAGGGGTCTGACTATCATGGAGGTGATCTGATACATGGAGTCTTTTGTTAGGACTGAAAGGACCATCTGGAATATCACTTTATGATTCATGGTTTGTGACAACTAGGTGTAATTGTTCATGACAACATTCTACTAAATATGTGAAGGGTTTGTGTAAAACACAAGCATGGCATGTTCTCCTACTGCAGACACACTGGTTCAGGATGACTTGACATTCAGTTAGTGTCTATATTCAGAACTTGGAGCCCGCGGTGACTTTACATGAGAACACTTTGACCTGGTTCCATTCTGACGTGTCAACGGTCAGACAGCTGCTGAGTCGGAACGTCTTGTCGGCTTGCGGCACGGGGCCACTCGTAGCGATGCCGCTGGTGACCGGATTCCCTCCCGCTGTCCAGCTCACATCAGCGTAGCCCATGGCCATCTGACTAGCCAAACACACCAGGATGACTTTGCTGGACTTCAACTCACCACTGGACGGAGGGAGGATGGTCAAGCCAGGAGGAGGGAGGGTAGAGCCTGGACCAATGGAATGAGCAGAAGAAACATTACACAACATAATTTGATATGTTAGTAAAATGAAACAGGGTTGTGTGCATTATACTGTAGAATAAAAAATTCAACATTTTCTCAAAGACTACAAACAAGAATCATTTTGGGCTCATAAAATTAAAAGTCACTAAAACCATGTAATTCTATTGTTACATGTTACTCATATTATGTCTGTTTGCAGCTTGTCTTATTTTGAAACTTTCTAAGAAACTCTCAATTTGTGACTTTGCGGAGGTAAAGCAGATTTCTGTGCAAGTGGATAATGAGTTCAGATCTCTAAGTTTAAACATAATCAAGTAGTCAGATGTGCTGAATGACGGATACAATCAAATGCATATCCTCATACTTAGTCAACCAGCAAACAGAATTACCAACTGTAATATAGTAGCCTACAATGGAATTAATCATGTTATAACATTGTCTGTAACTACCATATACATGGTTGTATCATTATTTAATATAACGTGGGACCAACATTTTAAAGGTTGATACAACTTTATGTATCCTTCACATTCAATTCTACCTCTGACTGAAAGAAAGGGTACTCACCAGTGACAATTAGCTTGGTTCCTGGTCCGAATACCACAGTGATTCAGTTTGTATACACAGCCGTACAAAAACCTCCTCACTCTCACTAGACAGGAACTGAAACATCCAATTCGGACAGAGCTTCACTCTCACTACTGAGAGGACAGGAACTGAAACATCCCATTCGGACAGAGCTTCACTCTCACTAGAAACATCTCAGGATTTTCTGGAGTTTCTCTTTATGAAGTAACAGTATATAGTATAGCATCATATTCTGCTGTTGGTGTCTGGTCCTTTTGAATCCATGTGTTAAAGCACTATCTATATGATGCAGTCTTGACTTGATGATGATGATGGTGGTGATGATGATGGTGAAATAATGATGATGATGATGATGATGATGGTGATATGATGATGATGATGATGATGATGATGATGATGATGATGATGATGATGATGATGATGATGATGATGATGACACCAAGAGAGCCAACATCAGTTTCCTTTCAGACAATGTCTTATAATATTTTTGACATGTAGGGATCGATGGTTCTTCCATTTCCAGATCTCCCATTGTGTCATGACTCTTATCTCCCTCACTAACTTTAAGCGTCAGTTGTCAGAGCAGCTTACCGATCACTCCACCTGTACACAGCCTTTCTGAAATTAGCCCACCCAACTACCTCATCCCCATGTTGTTATTTATTTTGCTAATTTGCACCCCAGTATCTCTATTTGCACATCATCTTTTGCACATATATCATTCCAGTGTTACTACGAAATTGTAACTATTTTGCACTATGGCCTATTTATTGCCTTACCTCCATAACTTACTACATTCGCACACACTGTATATATATTTTCTGTTGTATTTTTGACTGTTTTGTTTACCCCATATGTAACTCTGTGTTGTTGTTTTTATCGTACTGCTTTGCTTTATCTTGGCCAGGTCGCAGTTGTAAATGAGAACTTGTTCTCAACTGGCTTACCTGGTTAAATAAAGGTGAAAATATATATATATATATATATTGTTATAATAATCCCTGATCAACTTCAAACTCTGTTTCTTAGAGTTCACCCCTCTGCCACGCATAAAGCTGAAGTGAGTGTATTTGGGGAGGAGGTTTTTGTCATGGTGTATATCACTGTGATACGTGCTCTTTAACAGAGCTGTCATATGTCTGACAGTAATAAACTGCTGAGTCTGTCTCCTCCACAGTGTTAATAATCAAACGATAATCTGATTTAGACTGATGATTAGATGGGAATTTAGGAGAGGAGAAACCAGAACCATATTCTACAGAGCTCCAACCAGTGTGGTACCACCTTAACACGTACTGTGGGACTCCTCCTGGAACCTGTTTATACCAAACGAGCAGCACTATTCTCAACAGTCCCCAGGTTACAGTCCATAGTGGCCGTCTCTATTATCAACTGTCCCCAGGTTACAGTCCATAGTGGCCGTCTCTATTATCAACTGTCCCCAGGTTACAGTCCATAGTGGCCGTCTCTATTATCAACAGTCCCCAGGTTACAGTCCATAGTGGCCGTCTCTATTATCAACAGTCCCCAGGTTACAGTCCATAGTGGCCGTCTCTATTATCAACAGTCCCCAGGTTACAGTCCATAGTGGCCGTCTCTATTATCAACAGTCCCCAGGTTACAGTCCATAGTGGCCGTCTCTATTATCAACAGTCCCCAGGTTACAGTCCATATTGGCCGTCTCTATTATCAGCAGTCCCCAGGTTACAGTCCATAGTGGCCGTCTCTATTATCAACAGTCCCCAGGTTACAGTCCAGAGTGGCCGTCTCTCCTTTCCTCACTGTCACAACAGGAGGCTTCTGTGTCACCACAGTCACACCACTGACACCTGGGAAATAAGAAGATGACATGTAGTGAAGAGAAACATACAGACTCATTATTCATAAAACATGAAGTAAAACCTCCAGGAAGTCAGACTCCTTACTTGTTAGAGCAGTGATGAGAGTGCAGAATGTCCCCAGCATGTTGTCAGCGTGTGTTGTGATCGGCCCTTACTGTCCAGTTGAGAGATGAGCAGGGTTGGAGTGTGAGGAGAGGAGAGGCTGCAGGACCCACCTATAAGGAGACAGACAGGGAGGACCAGAGGGAAGGGCCTCTACAGTTAACCTATCACCAAGCCAGGGAGGACCAGAGGGAGGGGCCTCTACAGTTAACCTATCACCAGCTACTCTCATTGTTGATTGACAAATCTGGGGCTTCACAAGACCAACAGACAGATTTTAAAATAATAATGTTATATATCATATATCTTAATAATAATTATTTTTCACTGTCATTTCTCTGAATGGTCAAAGTAACCAGATGGTATGAGAGACCAACTAGTATGATCATTGCTCTACATGAGGCCCTGTCTTCATCACTGACTCATATTCTGCCTCCATCAAACCATAACTGGAGTTTAATATCAAATATGAGTTCTTCACAAGGCCAACATAATGAGGATTTATCTTAATTTATATTTATCAGAACCCAACGAACCTTTGTCAAATGTGGTGAACAATAAAGGGAACAGAGTGTCATTAGGGACACAGTCTCAGTTTCAGTCCTCTCCCCCCCATATTCAAAGCTCTGAGAGGAGATAAAATAACCTCTTCAGGAGGGGAGGAGGGGAGGAGGGGAGGAGGGGAGGAGGAGGGGAGGGGAAGCAGGTGTGTCCTGGGGGAGAAAGAAAGAGAGCAACACATCACTGCCTGTAACTCAGTGTCAGAGCTAGAACACGTCCCTGCTGAATGACTCTGATAACTAGAGATATTAGACATGAAACCATCAGCTGGTCTTTGGGTGGGACTGAAACCAGTGGTCTACAGACAGCTGGTCCTGTTGTAAAGTACATGTAGCTCTTTCCTCAGTCATTATTGGTGGTCCTATGTCCTCCTCAGGGGGACGTTGACAGAACTGCAGCTTCTATTCTGATCACTGATGCACAATGGGGTGAATCCTAACTTCCAATTAAGCTGAATTTTTACTTAGTCATGCATTGATGTCAATGTAAGACTAAGTGAAAATGTGACTGAAGTGGAAGTTAGGATTCTCCCCAATGTGAACAAGACCAGACTTAAAGTGAGGGCACCACCGAGGACAGATGTGAGGGAACAGATGAGGACACCACCGAGGACAGATGTGAGGGAACAGATGAGGACACCACCGAGGACAGATGTGAGGGGACAGATGAGGACACAGAGAGAGGAAATGGAACAGAACCAGGGGCCACGAGGACTAGAGGAAGGAGGGTCCCTAAACCTTAGTTAGACTGATATAGTCTCTCTGCTACTACATCCATCCACTAGGACTAGAGGAAGGAGGGTCCCTACACCTTAGTTAGGCTGATATAGTCTCTCTACTACTACATCCATCCACTAGGACTAGAGGAAGGAGGGTCCCTAAACCTTAGTTAGACTGATATAGTCTCTCTACTACTACATCCATCCACTAGGACTAGAGGAAGGAGGGTCCCTAAACCTTAGTTAGACTGATATAGTCTCTCTGCTACTACACCCATCCACTAGGACTAGAGGAAGGAGGGACCCTAAACCTTAGTTAGACTGATATAGTCTCTCTGCTACTACACCCATCCACTAGGACTAGAGGAAGGAGGGTCCCTAAACCTTAGTTAGACTGATATAGTCTCTCTACTACTACACCCATCCACTAGGACTAGAGGAAGGAGGGTCCCTAAACCTTAGTTAGGCTGATATAGTCTCTCTACTACTACACCCATCCACTAGGACTAGAGGAAGGAGGGTCCCTAAACCTTAGTTAGACTGACATAGTCTCAACTACATCACTACACTCCTCTCTGAACCAGATCAACCCAGAACTGATGAGAGCTTTGTACTGACAACAGAGTTACTGTACACTAACTATCAATAACATTATAATTTGTGATTGATTTGATACTGAAGGTGTGTGTTGATGATGTGTCATGGACTTAATGAAGTCTAGAAATGTTCTAATCATTGGATTCATCATCTCATATTATAATAAGTGTATCCGTACACAAAATGTCTGTGTATAGTATCTGTAAATACCACAGGAGGTTGTTGGCACCTTAATTGGGGAGGACAGGCTCGTGGTAATGTCTGGAGCAGAATGAGTTAAATAGTATCAAATACTTCAAACATGGTTTCCATGGTTTCCATGTGTTTGATGCCCATCCATTCGCTCCGTTCCAGCCATTATTATGAGCCGTCCTCCCCTCAGCAGCCTCCACTGGTAAATACTGCAAATAAAGAGTAATGTACTACAGGACTACTTTGAAAATATAATGTTGAAATACAACTCTTTCAGCCACAAGGTGGCAGCATATTACCATATTCTATCCCTTCTCTTACCCCCCTGCGGCCAAGAGAGAACATATTCATAAGAATGTTATTGTACATTTTAGTAAGATGTAAGTGTATAACACTATTGAATATTATTACAATAAACTATGAATATATTGAATATATCATGCTATTGTACTGTTGTTTTAATTCACCATACAGTGACATTTTACAAGCAAATATTGGCCAGGAAATAATGTGATCCCCAATCACATGTTTCTTTACAAATCAACAATTTTAGATAGATATGGATGATTATTAAATAGGTACTTTCAGAATGATTTTATAATACAATAATATCAGACGAATGAAAGGTTCTCAATAATGTGCAGTTCTAATATAAACCAAACTTCTGGGTCATCTCTGGTTATTCATTAACATTACAGTAAACCTGCCCTACAACCTGGATAGTTTGATCAACAATTTCTGGAGCTGGACAAAAGTCAGAGAGCAGGCTGCTCTATTTGAGTTCAGTTAAATTCCCCGTCATTTAGTGCTGCTAACACTGATGCTCATCAAACATGTTCAAACACAACACTTGTTCTTTAGAATGTTCTTTATTGCATGTCCACAATACAGCAAAGCTATAACAATTCCTCTATTATAAATCTGCAAAGCAACCAATTTCAAATATACAGTCTACTTATCAAATAGCCTATGATATCAGTATTAGTAGCTATTTCTCTCTTTTATGGAACAGAATGTATATATGCAGATAAACCTTCTAATGCATTAACAATAACTTGAAAAGCTATGTAGAATATCAAATTGACATTACAGTGGTTCTCAAACTATTAAGTGCTGCATTCAGACTTTTTGATGCCTTTCTCAGCGAACTTGGAGCCCGCGGTGACTTTACATGAGAACACTTTGTCCTGGTTCCATTCTGACGTGTCAACGGTCAGACAGCTGTTGAGTTGGAACGTCTTGTCGGCTTGCGGCACGGGGCCACTCGTAGCGATGCCGCTGGTGACCGGATTCCCTCCCGCTGTCCAGCTGACATCAGCGTAGCCCATGACCATCTGACTGGCCAGACCGACCAGGGTGACATTGCTGGATTACAACTCATTGCTGGATGGGGGGAGGATGGTCAAGCCAGGAGGAGGGAGGGTAGAGTCTGGACCAATGGAATGAGCAGAATAAATATTAAACAAAATAATTGGATATGTTAGTAGAATGAAACAGGGTTGTGTGCATTATACTGTAGAATAAAACATTCAACATTTTCTCAAAGACTACAAACAATTAACATTTTGGGCTCATAAAATGAAAAGGCACTAAAACCATGTAATTCTATTGTTACATGTTACTCATATTTTGTCTGTTTGCAGCTTGTCTAATTTTGAAACTTTCTAAGAAACTGTCAATTTGTGACTTTGCAGAAGTAAAGCAGATTTCTGTACAAGTGGATCATGAGTTCAGACCTCTAAGTCTAAACATAATCAAATAGTCAGATGTGCTGAATGATGGATACAATCAAATGTACACTACCGTTCAAACGTTTGGGGTCACTTAGAAATGTCCTTTTTTTCGAAAGAAAAGCAATTTTTTTGTCCATCAAAATAACATCAAATTGATCAGAAATACAGTGTAGACATTGTTAATGTTGTAAATGACAATTTTTTTTGGGGGGGTGGGGTAAGGGGGGGTAGAAGGATGACTTTATCCTATCCCAGGTATTCCATAAAGAGGTGGGGTTTCAAGTGTCTCCGGAAGGTGGTGAGTGACTCCGCTGTCCTAGCGTCGTGAGGGAGCTTGTTCCACCATTGGGTGCCAGAGCAGCGAACAGTTTTGACTGGGCTGAGCGGGAACTGTGCTTCCGCAGAGGTAGGGGGGCCAGCAGGCCAGATGTGGATGAACGCAATGCCCTCGTTTGGGTGTAGGGACTGATCAGAACCTGAAGGTACGGAGGTGCCGTTCCCCTCACAGCTCCGTAGGCAAGCACCATGGTCTTGTAGCAGATGCGAGCTTCAACTGGAAGCCAGTGGAGTGTGCGGAGGAGCGGGGTGACGTGAGAGAACTTGGGAAGGTTGAACACCAGACGGGCTGCGGCATTCTGGATGAGTTGTAGGGGTTTAATGGCACAGGCAGGAAGCCCAGCCAACAGCGAGTTGCAGTAATCCAGACGGGAGATGACAAGTGCCTGGATTAGGACCTGTGCCGCTTCCTGTGTAAGGCAGGGTCGTACTCTCCGAATTGTAGAGCATGAACCTACAGGATCGGGTCACCGCCTTGATGTTAGCGGAGAACGACAGGGTGTTGTCCAGGGTCACGCCAAGGCTCTTCGCAATCTGGGAGGAGGACACAACGGAGTTGTCAACCGTGATGGCGAGATCATGGAACGGGCAGTCCTTCCCCGGGAGGAAGAGCAGCTCCGTCTTGCCGAGGTTCAGCTTGAGGTGGTGATCCATCATCCACACTGATATGTCTGCTAGACATGCAGATATGCGATTCGCCACCTGGTTATCAGAAGGGGAAAGGAGAAGATTAGTTGTGTGTCGTCTGCGTAGCAATGATAGGAGAGGCCATGTGAGGATATGACAGAGCCAAGTGACTTGGTGTATAGCGAGAATAGGAGAGGGCCTACAACTGAGCCCTGGAGGACACCAGTGGTGAGAGCACGTGGTGCGGAGACAGATTCTCGCCACGCCACTAGGTAGGAGCGACCGGTCAGGTAGGACGCAATCCAAGAGTGAGCCGCGCCGGAGATGCCCAACTCGGAGAGGGTGGAGAGGAGGATCTGATGGTACACAGTATCAAAGGCAGCAGACAGGTCTAGAAGGACAAGAGCAGAGGAGAGAGAGTTAGCTTTAGCTGTGCGGAGAGCCTCCGTGACACAGAGAAGAGCAGTCTCAGTTGAATGACCAGTCTTGAAACCTGACTGGTTTCGATCAAGAAGGTCATTCTGAGAGAGAGAGCAAGAGAGTTGGCTAGAGAGGGCACGCTAGAAAGAAGGGATACTGGTCTGTAGTTGTTGACATCAGAGGGATCGAGTGTTGGTTTTTTGAGAAGGGGTGCAACTCTCGCTCTCTTGAAGACGGAAGGGACATAGCCAGCGGTCAAGGATGAGTTGATGAGCGAGGTGAGGTAAGGGAGAAGGTCAGGATCTGGAGAAGAGAGGAGGGGATAGGGTCAAGCGGGCAGGTTGTTGGGCGGCCGGCCGTCACAAGTCGCAAGATTTCATCTGGAGAGAGAGGGGAGAAAGAAGTCAAAGCATAGGGTATTGCAGTGTGAGCAGGACCAGCAGTGTCATTTGACTTAACAAACGAGGATCGGATGTCGTCAACCTTCTTTTCAAAATGGTTGATGAAGTCATCCACAGAGAGGGAGGAGGGGGGGGGGGGGAGGAGGATTCAGCAGGGAGGAGAAGGTGGCAAAGAGCTTCCTAGGGTTAGAGGCAGATGCTTGGAATTTAGAGTGGGAGAAACTGGCTTTAGCAGCAGAAACAGAGGAAGAAAATGTAGAGAGGAGGGAGTGAAAAGATGCCAGGTCCGCAGGGAGTCTAGTTTTTCTCCATTTCCGCTCGGCTGCCCGGAGCCCTGTTCTGTGAGCTCGCAATGAGTCGTCAAGCCACGGAGCAGGAGGGGAGGACCGAGCCGGCTGGGAGGATAGGGGAGAGTCAAAGGATGCAGAAAGGGAGGAGAGGAGGGTTGAGGAGGCACAATCAGGAGATTGGAGGGAGAAGGATTGAGCAGAGGGAAGAGATGATAGGATGGAAGAGGAGAGAGTAGCGGGAGAGAGAGCGAAGGTTGCGACGGCGCATTACCATCTGAGTAGGGGCATAGTGAGTAGTGTTGGAGGAGAGTGAGAGAGAAAAGGATACAAAGTAGTAGTCGGAGACATGGAAGGGAGTTGCAGTGAGATTAGTAGAAGAACAGCATCTAGTAAAGATGAGGTCAAGTGTATTGCCTGCCTTTTGAGTAGGGGGGGACGGTGAGAGGGTGAGGTCAAAAGAGGAGAAGAGTGGAAAGAAGGAGGCAGAGAGAAATGAGTCAAAGGTAGACGTAGGGAGGTTGAAGTCACCCAGAACTTTGAGGGGTGAGCCATCCTCAGGAAAGGAACTTATCAAGGCGTCAAGCTCATTGATGAACTCTCCAAAGGAACCTGGAGGGCGATAAATGACAAGATGTTAAGCTTGAATGGGCTAGTGACTGTGACAGCATGGAATTCAAATAAGGAGATAGACAGATGGGTCAGGGGAAAAAGAGAGAATGTCCACTTGGGAGAGATGAGGATTCCTGTGCCACCACCACGCTGACCAGATGCTCTCAGGGTATGCGAGAACACATGGTCAGACGAGGAGAGAGCAGTAGGAGTAGCAGTGGTAATCCATGTTTCCGTCAGCGCCAAGAAGTTGAGGGACTGGAGGGTAGCATAGGCTGAGAGGAACTCTGCCTTGTTGGCCGCAGAACGGCAGTTCCAGAGGCTGCCGGAGACCTGGAACTCCACGTGGGTCGTGCGTGCAGGGGCCACCAGGTTAGAGAGGCAGCAGCCACGCGGTGTGAGGCGTTTGTATAGCCTGTGCGGAGAGGAGAGAACAGGGATAGACAGACGCATAGTTGACAGGCAACAGAAAATGGCTACAATAATGCAAAGGAGATCGGAATGAAATGAACTAAACATCTGGGAAAGCGAGAGAGCGGGGCCTCCCTCACTTACATTTCACTGAAACACCCAAATATAACTCTCCCAACTTCCACCTCAGAAACTATAATTGTTGTAAACTACAGCGGTTCAATGTTTTCTAGGAATAGACTAACTTAGTTTATTCAGCTAGTGTTAAGTTGCGTCAATTCAAATATGGTATTAGGAACAAAAGAGGTCAATACACGTCTTCTAAAATAGACTAGTATTTTAATTAATGCAAAACCTTCAATGGTAAATATGATGTTCGTATATACGGGTCCACTGAAATACCACGCAGGGCACTCAGCGAACTAAGCCATTGTTATGAGTTCTTCTTAAAATACTCTGACAGAGATAGTTCCCGCTCCCTGCTGGCCAATCAGAGTAGAGACTGAGCGTGGTTTAGACTTACTCAGCCAATCCGTTGGCGCACAGGCTGGTCCCAGTCCCTTGGCGCTCCACTGTTGCACACTGTTGCCAGGCATAAGTTGTTATCATAACAACCTGTAGAGTCAGCGCCCATAGACACCGTTCCACTGTACTCTATGTACCTACGTTCAAGGACGGTTCACAGATCACAAAGAAGCAGTGTAGTCTAGTATTTTGAGACACAAGTTCTTATCTCATCCTACCCCCTAACGTTCCTCACATGAATCACAGCTTGTTTTGTGAAACAATTTATATCAGTACAGTACAAACCTTCTATGTTTAATCACCAATGCATTCCTTCTAAGCTATTCATCCCTCCAGTTATGAGAAAATAGAACCCCACACTAGCTAACTTGGTACAGTATTCTTCCGTGAAAAACGTCCAGGGCACCTAGTCATATGACGCCACAGCCAACTAGCATGCCGGACTCCAATAACACGGTTTATCACCAATACTTGGCCACAACAAACCACCAGTGTGTCAACACGCCAAGCAGATCATTCGTGTCCATGTCTAACGTTGTGGGTTAGTTCCGACAGCTTAAGCGAGTCCGTCGTCAACTTATTCAGCCAGTTAGTTAGCTAGAATAGTTAGCATACTATTCCAGCCATAGCTTTCTGCTTACGAAGAAACCCGTCCTCCCACGGCACGAACACACAGAGAGAGCCAAGCTAACGTTAACTAGTCACCCATGTCCCGAATTCCCTTGAACGACTCTGGTTACCAGTATGTAAAAACAAAACACAAATGTAGGTTATAACTTACCCCTAGCAGCTACTGTTAGCTAGCCAAGTGCAAAGCTAGCCACTGAATTGACTCAGCCAGTTCGCGTCTGTTCGGTAGGTCATTCCAGCTATTGTTTAGTAGCTATCCAGGTAGTAACAAGCTAGCTACATTTCGAGCACAGTAGCTACTTACTACCTAACGTTAACGCTTCAGACAATGAGGTTAGAAAAACAGCTGAATGGTAGGCATTATTGTATGTAATTATTGTAGGCAGCTAGCTGGCGTAATTACAGGTACTCTCAGGCGTGAAACAACTATCCACAGTTGCTAATAGT